ATCACCACTCTTAAATCGCTGAAACCATACTTGGCATGTTCTTTCCGATGGAGCATAATTGCCATAAGCTTCGAAAAGCAATTTATGAGCTGCAGCTGCAGTTTTTTTCAAGTCAAAGTAATGAAGCAGCACATGTCGAAAAAACAACTTATCACGTTCCATATTTAATCAAAAGAAAAAATAGCACTGCTCGCTTAAATGAATCTCTTCGCACTGAATTTTATTGACAAATGTCTAACCTCTAAAATGCAGCCAGTTTTAGATGTCAAAATAAATTACACCTACAACTAACGTCATCTAACTGTGAGCCGCAGGAACTAAGTTTACCACCTAATATCATCATTTAAAAAGATTTTTATTTGGACAGCTTATCTTGATGATCTATTTTGAGTACCTAATCAAGCGAATATGATCTTGAATGTTGTATTTCAAAGCTGCATCAAAGTTCGCACATATTTTCATATGTGTCAATCGCGACTGTAGATTCTCCAGCTGACCGCATACGTGCAAAACTAATAATCCAAGAAAGTTGTCGATTGCGGTATAAGAAAGACCTGATGTGAACGTCGCAATTCCTTGCGCTATAAACGTCAGCTCATACTGTGGACTTTTGGACACGTCGTGCAAGTAGTATGATTGTATCGGCAAGGGTTTTCCGGGATCGGTTAGGTTCGTAACGTGTCGGATCATTAGACCGAAACATGGAAAGACGGAAGTAATAATCACTGCCAAAAGTATCGTGAACATTCCGCACATGGCGATCGTGCGAGTGATCCTGGCGCGACTCAGCATAACGTTTCGCTCCTCTTTCATCTTCGCTTTGATCCAGTCTTTTGCAATCATATCAATCAGTGGTACTAAAACTGTAAGCTGCAGTAATGCCTTAGTAGTCCAATATATGATTACTTTCAAGCGTTTTACTAGTTGAATAAACAATTAGACAAAAAACACTTTACTAAACAATATGTACCTTCTTGTTTATACCAAAGAATGGAGACTTTGAATATGGTAATCAATAGAGGTAGACTATGTTGCAAATTATCTATCATTAGTATCATGTCGCCCCACACCCTTACCAGAGATACTAGAACCGGTATTGTTAGTACAAAAAACAACGCGATACAATTACCCAATAATCGAAGTTTTGATCGTACGATCTCACGCTCGTCTCGGATGTCTGGCGGCCACAAACCAACGATTTTCAACATGAGCCGATTTAGACCGATCGCCCATTTTAAATCTGTTATTAGAAATTTCTATTTGTGTTCCACATTACGCGTTACAAAATCAATAATTTTATATATATTATTTATATTGGAAAAAATAAATTTAGGCCGAGGGAAGAGTAAAGAAATGGGCTACTTGAAGATATTTAAGCATTCTGCTCTTCTCCAGTAGAAAAATTATAAAGTTAATAAAACATTATTTTTTTATAAAGTTAAAGAAATATATCTTCGAATATGTAATTTATTAATATGTAATTTTCTCAAACGATTTATTTATATCAATTTCATATGTGACTTTGCGATTATGCATTTGAAAAATTCAGAAAACAGTCAGAAAAAAAGTACATAAAACGTTAATTATGATTTATATAGAGATAACTATTTCGCACTTATGCGAATACAAATTTTTGAACTGATTTCGAAAAGGGGTACCATTATATCCATTTGAATAATCTATGTTAAGGATCAAAAGGGCACTGTCTGTTACCATCAACGAAAAATTTCCACTTTTGCGATTATTCTCACGCATATTCTCGACAAAATTCCTGAAACATCAAATTTAGTTCGACTCTACCGTCATAAATATTCCAGTAAGTAGAATGAACATGAGAAACACGAGGAGGAATTACCTCCTTGTTAACGTGCTCCGCCAGACAAGAAGGTGCGGGTGAATAAATTATAATCGTGAGAATGCGCAAAACAAGTACTGTTCAGTGGCACGAAGATCCACCGTTTTCATAGTCTCCTGTTTTTTCCTCTTTGTTACTTTATACTTGTATGTGAAGGGTTGCACTTACGTATAGAATTTTTTACGTGACGATACAAAACGAGTTAAGGGCTGCAGAAAACTTTGAGGAAAGCGTAGAACATTTGCAGTTTATCGATATTTTTTGCAGGTCTATAAAGTTTGTCGGCTAGAAGAGAGAATTGCCATCGAATGAGATCACTTTCATGGTACATTTTTGATGAACCTTCACTGGCTGAGACATTTTTAGTCGGAACATAGCGTATGAGAAGAAAGGACGTGGTGAACAGTGCATGTGTTTGATATAATGTGTTTTCAATTTGAAAAATGTACGGAAAAAATAAATACTTATGTTAAGATAAAAATAATGATTGAAATCAGAGGATATATTTGTGCGATATATATAACTAAGAAAGTTCAAATCTCATAACATTGTACTAGTATTTATTTACATATTTACTTATTTACATTCTACTTATTTATATCTATACTTAGATATTTATATATGTTTTAAATAATTTACACATTTTTATAGTCTGGCTATAATAGTCTATATATATTTTCTCTTCTTTATTTTCTTATTTGTTCTAAATATATAGTAAATTTGTAATAGTACATCTACATTTATGTTTTGTTACAAAAAATATATATGAGGCATTCTTTGTCAAACGGACTATCCCCTATCTAAAATTCGTATAGACCGATTAAGTTCTTTTATAGCTGAAATTGTAGGTAGAGATGTCTATTTTTATTTGCCGTCTGGTTTTTTTGAAAATTTAATATGGCGCGTCTAATATGGCGTATTGCAGCAATGAAACACAATTTTGGAAATCTGTAATCTTTGATAATATTGTAAAAAATCACTTAATTTTTGCGAGAATAAGTTTATTAATGGTTTTTAGGTCGCTGATTACCAATTTGAAGTTAGATATCCGAAACATTGATTCAAAATGGCAAACCGAAACATTGAAAATTTTCAATGAGCGGTTCTAGCACTTTTCTCCCCACCATTCAACGCGCGCTTTTTCCTTAATCTTTTACAATTAATATCTCGAGTATTATTGCTAACATTGTCAAATGGTATGAGACTTTTATGTTTATCTTAATTTGTTCTCACGAAGATTGCTGAGACGAATCTGGGATATCCTGTATTTACATACATGTTATATATAAGAGGACATAACAACATACTAATTTAATAGAGATGTGCAAACTATTCGAATTTGAATCGAATCGAATCAAATAAAATTCGATTCGATTCAAATTCGAATTCCTATAATTTGAATTTGAATAATTCGAAAATTTTGAATCGAAAAGATTCGAATACGGATCGCGTACATTAGCATTAACAAAATACTATTAAGGGGATGTCGGAGTGCCTACAAATCTGTCTTAGGTTTTACATCGTTCAGACTGAACTGATCGGAAAACGCTTTTGCATGCTTAAAATACATTCATTGAAATACATACCACAGATATAATCTTTTCATCGAAAACGAAAAAAATTTTTAAGTTAGTTGTTTACTAGTACAATTCGTAGATTATAAAAAATTTCTACGATGCATATAAAAAAAAGGAAATATCTGCGGGCTACAAAATGTTTTAAGGAATAACGTCCAATCTTCAAAAATATGTTTAGAAGCTTTAGAAAAAACACAATTTCTTAGAGAAAATTGCAGTTACTTTTCGCTAAAATGTAGATAAAACAGAGCAGTTTACACGTCCATAATACCCTAATAGCACAGATGTCCAGGGGACATCCAGAAGACATCCTGATGACATTCTTCGTCCTCAATACTTATATATATATATGGAGCATGGTTATTAATAAGTTTTTTATTGCCTTTGATTCTATAGTGTACTATACAAATTTATATGTAGCGTGATATACTTTTTCAGACTAAGAAAATGCAATACTGATATGTGATTAGGTCGAAAAAATCAATATCTCGCTAAATTTAACCTAATAATTGAAATAATGTCATTTGTCGAAATCAATACAGTGATGATAGATTGATTTCTGGTTGTTGCAGAGAAGTTAGGAAAAATATTTTGAGTATTAGAATTATATAATATACATTATCTAGTGTATCATTAAAGGTACCATTAAAGGTATTGTCATACTTATTTACTTACTTGTGTCACTAGAATCTCACCAACGGCACAATAAATACACATGTACAGCAAAACGTATACAATCGTTGCGACAGACCAAGTTAACTGCATCAATGACAACTGGCCTTTTTTAACAACCTAAATTGTCACAAATCCAAGTTATATACTATTGAAACTCTATATCCTCTGAAATACATTATGTTACATTCAAAAAGTACGTGAAAAAATTAACAAGAAAATTGTTAAATATTAGACGTGTATTAACAAGTGCATCCTGTAATTTCAAATCAATATAAATCAATTACATATAGACATGTCGAATTATTGAAAGCTGTTTAGATCAGAGGCTCTTTAATCATGTAATCTTGTGCACAATTATTTTCAACTTACATTAACTATGAGAAATCCTTGTAGGCAGAACATTATACCAAAGTACAGTACCAGGGCAAGTAGCATTAAATGGAAAATATCATCGATGATCGACGACAATAACGTTTCCAGATTTTGCAATAGAGCTATAAATTTTAACACGTACACACGTACCTACGCATTCACTCACACGCACACATAGTATTCATTTGTCTTTTTTATATAAAACTTTTGTTTTGAATAAATGGGGAGAAAGGTATTTTATTCCGAATCTAAATATATAGTAATATTTTGAAAGATGGATTTGTCAAAAAATAGGTGAAAATTTTATTTTGTTAGAATGAATAAATGCATAGCATGTTGTACCATCTAATCTAGTAGATTTACCAAGATCTATTAGATCTATTAGATTTATCTAATAGATTTATCTAATAGATTGGTAAATCTAATAGATTTACCAAGATCTAATAGATTTTATAAACAAATTGGCGTTGAATAAGAGAAAATATTGAAAGGAAAATAAATCAAAAGAAATAGCAAAAGAAAAAAAAGAAAAAAGTTAAAATATAAATATATTATTAGTATGGTTTTAATTATTTTTATAATGTTTCCGCAATGTATGTATGTGTTGTTTTAATATTTCAGTAAAATGTTTCAATTTTATATTTCCGTAATATCTCTACAATATTACATTGTATTTTATAATGTTACAACATTCCTGTAATTATATTGTAAGTTTCTGTACTGCATGGGATTATACGAAGTTTGATCAAAAGTACGCGGAATTTTCGTTTTTCTGAAAAAATCTTTATTTATTCATCGATATTAATTTTGTCCCCTTCAAAGTACTCCCCATCAGATATAATACATTTGTGCCAATCGTTTTTTTCAATCTTCGAAGCACTTCTGGAACGCAATTTTCGGTATGGCGTTTACCTTCCCTTATAGAAATATCATACTAAGAATCATTGATAACTACTTATTTTCAGTATTAAAAATACTGGATAATAAGTAATTATCAATGATTCTTAGTATGATATTTCTATAAGGGTTCTTCAGCGATTCTGTCTTTATCTCTTCAGTGTTGGTAAAACGTCGTCCTTTCATAGTTCTTTTCAGCTTCGGGAGTAGGAAGAAGTCATAGGGGACCATGTCCGGTGTAAACGCTTGTTTTACTCATAGAAGATTCGCCAAAAGTAACATTCAACATTTCCAATGCGGTGCTGCACTTTATTCCATTCTTAAAGTAAAATTTAATGCAAATTCTTTGTTCCATTTTCTCCACAAGTTAAAAATCGCCGAGCATACCACGTGTAACCTTTTCGACAGCCAACAATAAAGTAAGTATCCAATATGGTTACCAATGTCAAGATATGTCAGGGACAAATATACCAACACAACAACAAAAAATTGTGACAATTGGACTTATACAGTCCGCAAAATTAAAAAATTCCGCATATTTTTTTATCAAACCTCGTATATCAATATTATAATTTCTTATTCAACAATATAACTGTTACATACATAATACTTACATTATACAGTATGGCTATAAAGTTTTAAAAACCAGTTTTAGGACCAAATTTATAAAAAATACAAATTATGATCGGAAAATTTATATATATATATATATATATATATATATATATATATATATATATATATATATTTATTACTTAATTTTCAATATATATACCTCCTAACTCTAAACAGCGATTTACGTGGTTCTCCATAGCACGCTGAAACTCTGAAACTGTAGAATAGCATTCAGCACCATCGTCATACAGCTTTGAATCGCTGTAATGTCGTCGAAACGGTCACCTAGAAGAAAATATGCCAAAATAGACATTTTTGTTAAGGAAACAACAATAAATGAAAACAGATGGAATCTTTATATAATACATACAATTGAGGAAGTTTGAATACAATTGAGGTAGCTCCGCATATCTTGATATTTATTTAATAGAGCATATGATACACATACTAATATTGATATTAACCTTCCGTTGCCCTCGTTCGGCTACCCTTATAGAAATGTAATACTGATAAGTAATAATTTGGCCAGTGATAATTACTGTCGTTCAATAATTTTATTACTCGTACGAGTAACAAAATTACTATTTATTACTGGCCAATTTATCACAGCCAGTGATACTTTTCTATAAGGGTAACGAACGTTAGTGCTCTCGTATGAGCGAAATGTCGCGTCTGTTATTAATTAAATTTAAATAAAAATTTAATTATTGCTATATTAATGCGGCTTCATAAAAAGAGTCCATTAAAATATTGATTTATTATTGATCCATTAGAATAAAGCTTAAATTTGATAACAACACGAGTCGCATTAATCTCATATATTTATTTTTGCTATGAGCGTGCACTAACACTTGCCAGAATCTAATAATAATAGTAATATTGTTGAAATTAAGAAGATGACCACATAAATATAATTTTAAAGGTTGTAAAAAAAGTCAGAAAGTTTTAAAGTTAACTGTGAAGCTATTTTTATATAATTAGGAAGTAAAATTTCCACTGAGCGAGCTCGCCTTATACGAAAACAATGGAAGATTGATGTCTATTAGCAAAAGTTACACTAATTAAGAAAATTATCATACAAGTGTGATCTAAAAGTTTGTAAATAAAAAGTCAGAAAGTTTCAAAGTCATCTGTTAAAGCCATCTTTATATAATTAGAAAATGAAATTTCAACTGAGCGTTTGCCTCATACGAGAGCAATGGAGGGTTAAGGTTTGTATATATTTCTTAAATAACATACAGCTTATTTGTTTATTTTCTTCACAGACATATAGAATGTACATTATTATAGGAAAGATGAAATTAGTATTTATAAGAGGAAATAGAAACTAACATATTTTCCTTGTCTAATTATCCAGTTAGGGAGAGGGAAAGGCAAAGAAAGAAAAACGATCAATGTGTCTTCTTTTTCTTGTACTATTTTATTCTATTTTTTGTTTTTCTCATATCGCCCACTTCTACATATTGTGTGACAGCGAAAGCATTTGACTTAGCGTGTATTTTTAATCTTCAATCTTGTCATCAATGGTCCCGTAAGAGTGCGCAGTCTATTTTTAATAAGTGTATAATTTTCTATTTTTTTTCTAAATACATATAGAGCATTTATTGAATATATCTACACGGAAAAAATTGGTTGAATTAATTAAAAATCTAGATATATTAACCAAATTGTTTTGTGAAAAATGAGTGATTTATAATTCTGATTAATACATTCACTACGAACGCCACATACTCTCTTAAAGTGAATCAATGAATAGTCACTGATATCAATTATGAGTATAGGCACTTTTAGTGTTATACTTATAACTGCAATCAGTGTATATTCACTGTTTTCAGTGATGTTTGACTGATTCAACCAACGTAACATATATGTGTAATGGCAAATTTTTTCCTATTTCCGCATTTTCAAATTAAGTCTGTTTTACAATTATATAAAAACAATGATGCGAAATACGCACTATGTGAGAGTCATCTAAATAAACCGTGATAACGAACTAGTTAAACAAATAACTTTGATTACATATTTTAGTTAATGTAACTATACAAAATTAATTGCATGTAACAAATTTGACGAAAGAAGTTCGTTACGAAACTAACTTTAATCCTAACAGGTTCTGAAACCGGAAATTCTGGATTAAAAGTTTACAAATGTTATAACTAGTACTATTATATAGTTTTTCAACAATATAATTTAACCCATTAAAGCCCATGGCTAGATTAGTAAGGTTAGCAAAAAAATAACCATTACAAATAGGATTGGAGCATGAGAAACTATAATAGACGTAAAAAGTTCGGTGTAAAAATTAATTTTGTTTATAAATTGTTATAAACAAATATTGACTGTAAAAGAAAACTGATTACGCCAATCGATTCTATGGAAAAAGTTACACAAGAAACATCATTTTTTTTCGTAGCGTCCTCCGTTTATGCAAAAGAAAAATAAACTGTAACATCAATTGAAAGTCGTTTCAGCTTATGACTAGACCAGTAAGGTTAGCAAAAAAGTAATATATGTTTTTTGTGTAACTTTTTCCGTAGAATTGATTGGCGTAATCAGTCTTGTACTACAGTTAATATTTAGTAATTTGTTTATAACAATTTACTACAAAATTGATTTTTACAACGAATTTTTTACGCCTATTATGGTTACTCATGCTCCGATCCTATTTCCAATAGTTACTTTTTTACTAACCTTACTGGTCTAGCCATGGACTTTAATAGGTTAATATTATAAAAAAAATAATTTAGATTGCGATTAATTTAGATAATACATTTAGATAATTATATTTTTCATTAATTTTCTTGTTAATGTAGTCAAGTCGATGAAATAATGCTGGTACGCGATCGGACAAAGTCTATAAAGTTAATTGTTTATAAATTCGAATACATAAAGTTGAATACTGAAATTTGCGTGTATAACATATTGAGTTTATGGCACTTTGGATACTCAGTAACTGATTTATGACTAATGTTGTACTTTAATATTCTGGAATATTTAATTATAATATTCAAATATTCCATTTAATTCTACTAACATTCGTTTAACCAAACATGTTATGTTAATTTAACATTAGTTTTGATAACCAAACACTTATTATTATATACGCAAACTTTGACAGTTATTTTACTTAAATGTTTTGATTATATATATTAGAATATCTCTAATTATAATAACTAAAAATTCTGTTTAGTTTTATCTTGTTGTATGAAAGAACTGTATTACGTTATTCTATATTAATTCACTTGTTAACAGAGATATCACGTTAATTCAACCAGGTTCTTTTTTCCGTGTACATTTTCGTTTTTTGATTCTTTTTAAAAGACATAGACATATATAAGTAAGAAATTTAACTACTACTTGTACTATTATTAAAAACCAAATAAGCTCTGAATGCATAATATACCTGTTAATCTTGTTTTGCAAGTAACACAGATATATAACCGGCCGATGTTTTCAATAACTGCAACATTTTTTAATGTGGAATAATTAGAAAAACAGACAATGTATCCGTAATAAATAAATTAATAATAAATAATGGTGATTTCGAAAACTTATGGTTCAAAATTTTGTATTGATTTTATTACATTGTATTACATTACATGAGCATGAAATGATTAAATTAAACGATTAAGAGCCAGCAGCAGCTGAGAATAAATTCTGATTTGACTTTAGAGTCCTCGTGCGACAAAAGCTCAAAATACTGTTTCTATACGTTTCTAGAAATGTATATTTATACACATGCAAATGCTAATCATCACTTGCACGAACCCAACAACTGGACATTAGTGCCGCTGGGTTACAATTCCGTGGTGTTTATAGTCGTTTTTTTACTTTGTAAAAGAAAAATTTTATTACTAGAATTCTCTTTAGAAATATTTATTGCAAAAACTATCAGATCGCTAAAGAAATTAATCCTGTAATTAGGTTAATATTGGTAATTAGGTATATACTAGGTTATATATAAGTATACTAGATACTCTGGTAAAGTTTTCTGCAGCTTTCTTACCTTTATAATAAATATCAGTATTTATATGATTAATCATGGTTTTTCATAAATATCCTTTTGTTTCTTTTACAAAAACTTGTTTTCCCCATAATTTTTTCATATCTCTTTCCAGGCGAGAGATTTTACGATATAAATTTCTGCACATATTCCACACTACTCCCGTATATTTTCCGCGTACATTTCACACTATTTTTGCATATTTTCTGCATCATTTTCTCATCTATACATCTATACATTTCCCATATTGATGTCGCACTACACTTACATTCTTTGCACAATTTTTGTAAAACTTTAGCAATTATTTTATATTATATCAGCTTCATCTTCGTAAGATGAGACTTCTTCATAAAAGCTCTGTATATCAAAATTAATTTGTAGCGATTCTACCTATATATTAGCGATTTTTCTACTTATATTATAGCAATTTAATCTATATTATTTATATTAATCTTTTATAATATTACGAAGTAAAAATCAATATAAAAATCAATATAAACTAAACATATTTCCGATTTAATATTTCAAATATTTAATGACATTTCTGTAAAAAAATAAATAATACATGTAGTAGAAAATTTTGTGAAACTTGTACAAATTGTGCAAATTTGTACAAACTTATTTATTTTACAAAAAGATAAGAAAGTGCCAAGTTTACGTACTCTTTTCCTCGCATGAATAGATTTATATAAAAAGAAATGTTCTTGTAAAAGGTATTTTACAAGAATATATCTTTTAAATAATATATCTTAAAAAAGTTAAAACGAGATGTTGTTATTTAAATCTCTAATTTTTATAAAAGATAAATGAAAATACGAAATACGTAGTGCACGTTACGTGAAGCGTTGTTTCAAACGAGTTTTGATATTTTTATTAAGACTTTGATTCTAAAAAATTAATTTTTTAGCGATCTATAAACAATTTCCTTGATAACAAAGGAATTTTTACTTTATTTTGCTCTAAGAACGACGATAACGAATCAGTTCTATAGCTTATAGCTTATAGCTTATAGTTTTATAGCTTTTGTTAGAAGTCCCTATAGTCTCTCCTGCTGGTTCTTAAGAAATTAATTTTTAATTATTCAAAAAAACATAATAATGCGTTTCTTATGTTACATATAACTTACGCTGCAAAATGTTGCCATCGTCATGGGAAATGTTTTTCCAGCCGTAATGTAGAGTGGTTTATTTGCGCGTAACATGATTAATATTAAGTTCTTTGCTGCTTTCGGTTCTATAGTGTACCATTCAAATTCATACGTAGCGTGATGTATTTTTTCAGACTAAGGAAATATAACATATATATGAACTAATTGGAAGAATCGATCACCCAAAAATTTTATGTTAGTAATTTAAATAATGTGAAATAAAACTAATAACAGCCTACGCAAGATGTTGATTGCGAAACACTTAAGGGATGTCCTCCTAGTATTCGAAATATAGGGTTGCCCATCGAAAACGAACAAACATATTTTTGATATTTAACCTTATTTTTTTTAAAAACGCTCGGAGATGTCAACTTTATTTGTAAAGGGGACATGTTAATTGGCTATTTCCGTTTACATAACTTTAACCTCAGAAGAGGTGTTAATTTCACTATGAAAATTTTAAATGGCGAGGGGGTCTAATAACATATCATTTGAAAGTCTGATAAATTCGTTTTACAATAGCGAAAAATTTCATTGATAAATTTAATGACCACACATTCAAAGTCTTTAGAGGTCAAATGACGGAAAATAAAGTTTAAATTATTAAATAAAGGTAATTTTCAATATATTTGCATTTATTTTATTAAAAAAGAGGTGTTTAAAATTTAATTTAAAATTTAAGGTTTAATTAAAAAATATCAAGTTGACTTTTATTTCATCTCCCGACATTGTACTCGAAGGTCAAATCAATAGCACCACAATACGTCTTCTTTGAAACCTTACAACTTTTATTTGAAACGTTTCTTTTTATTTTATTTTTTATATATTTAAACCATTCAATTTAAATGTCTCACTCTTTATATACAGAGTGTCTCAGACTCGTCTCTGTAATTTTCTAGAAATATAGAACGGATTGAGCTGAACATATTGCATAGCGCGATCGTGACACCGAGCGGTGATGGAGCTCGCCAGTATTTACGGGTCCTTACGAGGTCGCGAAGAGGAGTGGTGTAAGAGTGAGTGTGAGCCGTGTGTAAAAAAATAAACAAAATAATTTATTGGTCTGTTCGTACAGCGTGTATATAAAAGCGGTTCACCGGTCTTAACGCGGTTTTAATCCTTTGAACGCGAACTTAAGCGAGACTAATACGAACTGTTAATACGAACTTATTAACGCGAACTTACCGCTTTCGCCGACCAGAACACGTCCGCCTAAGCTCGCGTTAAAAGTTAAGATCACAATGATAGAATAAGCCATGAAGTAAGAGAGAAGAAGGTCGAACTCCATGAAACGAAAGTGGTCCTGATTCGTGTCCCCTAATTGAGAGAGAATCCGCTGAAAGGAATAACTTCTTATGGTTGGCCACCATTTGTAAAGCAATAAGTTAGAGCGAAATAAAATATATTTGTCTCACTCTTATTGTGCCAATTCACTAGTGCTCTTTAACTAAAGAGCTGCACTACTGAATGAGACCAGTGATAGAAACTTTGATTCCCGTGCTGATGCGTGCTGCTCGGGAATCAAAGTTTCTATCACTGAGTGAAACAAATATATTTTATCTCGCTCTAACTTATTGCTTTAAATGGCGTCCAACCATAAGAAGTTATTCCTTTCAGCGGATTCCCTCTCAAGTAAGGGACACGAATCAGGACCAGTGATAGAAACTTTGATTCCCGTGCTGATACGTGCTGCTCGGGAATCAAAGTTTCTATCACTGATCAGAATCACTTTCTCTACTCACGCCATATCAAACGATCTCGTTATCTCTTACTTCATGGAATAAGCTCATGTTAGGAATTAAGTTTTGGACTAGAGCATAAACCCACGTTAGGAATTAAGTTCGCGCTTTAGGATAAGCCTAAGCCTTATAACTTGTTTTATTTTTATTTTTAATACTTTATTATTTTTTATTTTATTTAAAGATGATGAAAATGATGATCGAAACATGGTTGGATGAAAACGTATGGTTGACTTTTGAGATATTCGATGTTTGGTTCATTTGTTGATATAATAGATTTTGTTGTCGCCATTTTACGTAGACTGTTATTAGTTTTCTTTATTTATGTTTGGTTGTGTATCTGGGATTCTAATGACTCATTTAATATTTTTTAAATGAGTCCAAATTGATATAGCGATAATAGATTTCTAGTTATAGCAGATAGGTTACGAAAATTACTCTAACAAGGGATATTCAGCAATGCAAAAATTTAATATTTAGCCCGAATTCTTTGATCTTGTAACAGCCACCTATCTTCCCTTATACCGCACTATCTGTTGTTCAATCTGAGTAATCGAACTGAAACTTATGATACCAATGAGCTATGACGATACTTCATTGAATTACGCTTATAATATGTTCTTGTAGTGTTTAAGGGGATGTCGGTGTGCCTACAAACCTTCCAGGTTTTACGTCGTCCAGACTGAATTGATCGAAAAGCGCTTTTGCACGTTTAAAGTACTCATTGAAACACACTGCGCAGTTATAATCTTTTCATCGAAACGAAAAAAAATTTTTAAGTTGTTTGCTAGCATAATTCGTAGGTTATATAAAATTTCTGCGATGCATATAAAAAAAAGGAAATAACAGCTCACTACAAAATGTTCTGAGGAATAACGTCAAATCTTCAAAAATATACTTAGAAGCTTTAGAAAACCACAGTTTCTTATGGAAAATTGCTATTACTTTTTGCTAAAATGTAGATAAAACGGAACAGTTTACACGTCCATAATAGTTCACGGATACTACGCTAGCGGCGCTGGTGCTACAATATACCACTATATGGCTGCGTTCGGGGAGCACACTACTAACGCTACCGCGTTCTTTTACCTTTATCGCTTTTTAGATATACAACAGGATAGAATGACACGGTAGCGCCGAATAGCGCTAATAGCGAACTTCCCGAACGCACCTATAGTGACAACATTGTAGCTGAAGGTAAGAAATGTGTGCACAGCGTGTGAGTGCGCGTCATCGTGCGCCAGTCACACGAATATACGGGCAGCATTACCGCCGGTACGTGTACATAACCTCTTAGCAGACATACGACAAGTATGACTCTCGGTTTCCGAGAACAGCCAAACAGTTGGGACATGAAGAAAAAAAAATACTCATACGAGCAGCGAAACCAAAATGGTATGTACATAATAATAATTGGGAACAGAGGCGTCTTTTTAAATGTGTACATTAGTGTACTGTTTGTCAGTATTTACTGTCAGATGCAATTTTTTTTTTTACGTTTGTTACTTGCCATAGTAGTGTTATTTGACGTACTGCTTCTCAGTAACAATTGCCACATACGTCAATTGTGACGTATATGGTGCTTGTCAGTTATTATCAGAGTCGTGTTATAAAACGTATGCTACTTGTCAGTAAGTACTATCAAAATATTTTTTTACGTGTGCTGCTTCCCAGTAGTTATAAGCAGAGTCTCACTTGACATCAGCTGCTTTGCAGCAATGGCAAGCAGAGGCGCCTTATTTCACGTGTGCTGCTTGTCAGTAACTACCGTCAGAGTCGTCTTTTTTTTTACGTGTGCTACTTCGTAGTAGTTACAAGCAGAGTCGTCTTGATGTGAGGTACTTTGCACTAATGACAAGCAGAGGCGCCTTATTTCACGTGTGCTGCTTGTCAGTAACTATTGTTAGAGTCGTTTTGTTTACGTGTTTTGTTTTCCAGTAGTTACATGCAGAGTTGTTTTACTTGATGTCAGCTGCTTTGCAGCAATAACAAGCAGATGCGCCTTATCAGTGCTGCTTATCAGTAACTACTGTCAGAGTCGTCTTTTTTTTATGTATGCTGTAGTTTGCAGTAGTTACAAGCAGAGTTATTTTATTAGATGGTGCTTGTCAGTAATAACTGCCACATATGTCTTTTTTGCCGTATAAGGTGCTTCTCAGTTGTTATTGCCACACTTGTATCATTTGACATGTACTTCTTGTCAGTAAGTATTTGTATAGAAATTTTTGTTTTACGTGTGCTTCTTGCCAATTGTGTTTACATGTATGGTTCTCTTGCCTTCAATAATACTTGTTGCCAGAAACATGTAAAGTAAAGCACACTCCTATTGAATGAATTTTCTTATTTCAACCATTGAGTGATTATTTTCAGTCAAAAGTAAAAGTAAATCTTGTACATTTGAATCGATTAAAACATTTACTCCTATCAAATCAAACTGTACTTCACATTTAGAATGAAACATTTACTCTTGTGATTTCGACTGACACTACTTTCATTACATTGAGTGAAAATACTGCTACTTTTTATTTCAAGAAATGTACCATTACCGTTTCCAAAAAAAAAAAAAAAATATATAAAAATATAAAAAATATAAAAATTATAAAAAATATACAAATATAAAAAAATATAAGTATTACAAGTAACGCTTTACATTCTAACTCCGCAGATAGTGCACACATTTCGAGAACCGTGTATATGTATAATCGGTACTTGAAGACCGAATAATATATTTCATTAATAGACCGAGCGTGTTCAATTTTTCAACAGCAAAGCTCGGCTAAAAATAAACATAAAATATTAGATAAATAGAGAGAAGAGGTGAAAACCTTTATCTTTCTGATTGCGCGCTAAAAGAAAAACGGAAATACGAGTTTCGCTATCCATCTCTTTCTCGTCATCACAACTGGTCTTTTATATTCAGTCTATGTTACGACTATGAATCAAAGTGAATATGTACGCGACTCTCGTTTGTATTATCCTGTTCATAACGACGATTGCCCTTATATAGATGTATGTATGTGTGCGTGCAAATAGACGGGGAGAAACGCTTGCATAAGAAGTGCCATATCTAACAAGGAGATGTCACAACCTGCTCCATTGATTTCCGAATGAGTTATAGCACGTTCGATAACTGTGATGTTGAACATCAATATTCTAATGTGATTTGTGCAAGTGGGCCTTTGTTAATGAGAAATTATAGTATAAAGTTTGGGTCGCGGAGCTGTAGCGTACATAGGCCGAAAGTTGCGGCTCTCTTTCAGCGAGACGGCGTAACTGAGCAAACTAAAACTCACGCGCCGAACATTTTTGGGCCGAGCGTTTGAATTCCGTCGACGACTTGTCCATGTGCGGTGTTTTTTTTATTCTTTCTTACCTTAGGACATGTAATTAATGCTTTTCCAATATACTATATTAGTTTTGAATATATCTTTCGTTTTTATGCTATTAATCAGGGATAAAAAATTAAGAAAGTGTTAGGCTTGTTTAATGCAAACATTATACACATAATACACACATAATTTGCATTGCTTACAATCAAATATATTTTTAATACATTATTTTTTTATCGAAACATTGTATACAACATTGTCACATAATAAAACTTGCTTGTAAAACTTACACGTTATAAATTTCAAATATTTTGTCGCAATGTTGCGGATGGAATGCTGTATAAAATCAAGTGAAACACTACAAATGTTTGTACCAACTGCATGCATGTTTTTATACAGCATTCCACCCGCAACACTGCGACAAAATAACAAATTTATAACATGTAAGTTTTACAAGCAAGTATTTTATTATGTGACAATGTTGTATACAATGTTTAAATAAGAATATGATGTATAAAAAATATATTTCATTGTAAGCAATGCAAATTATGTGTGTATTATGTATGTAATGTTTATGTTAAACAAGCTTCACACTTCCCTAATTTCTCTTCTGATAAGAGGAGGTAAGAAAAAATTAAAAAAACTTCGATTCATAAAAAACCGCACACATATAATTGCTTTTAGATTTTTAGATATTAAAATTTTTATTATATTTGATATAAAATGGATATATTTGATATATCGAACAAAATAAAATCTCATACATACAATTTCATACATCCTTGAATATAATAAAAAATCAAATTGCAAATGGTAATTCAGTTCATTAGCATAATTATTAACGACTGTTTTACGTCTTGAAATCTTATTGATATCTTTTTCTCGAATGTGTTGGACTTCCCGAAGGATATTCGAATAATTAACGTGAAATTGAGTGCGGAGGTCTTAATATCTTGTTAAGTAAAATCATAGAACGTTGACATCGAAAACTTCGATGTCGCATGTTTCCGGACTTTCGGTAAGTTTCAGGATTAAGTGTTAATTGGATTTTTCTTTAATATTTCTAGCAGAGATGTAACTATCGATGAAGATATATTCTCTATTTTTATGTTAAGTAACTTGACGCACTCAAATCACAGGAATGTTTTTTTATAATTGCGACATTTGATAAGAGAAAGAGGAAATTATTCATAAAAAATTAATTAATAAATATACAATAGAAATTATTAATAAATAACAAAACATTTACTTTCAATCGTAAAAGAACACTACATTTTGTGTACGATTCTTTAAAAATATTTTGTTTATCTATATCACCATATAGTTGCAAATTTTTTACAACAATAATTACATTGAATATTAATTACTGATAATATACACGTATTAATTACTGATAATATACACATAAATATGAATTTGTTTGAAATCTGCTTATTTTATTATATTGCAATGTTCAACTTCCAAACTCTTAATTTATCGTTAAAAATTTGTATATGAATTTTTCTATTATTTAAAAAAAATTTTTAAGTATACATATAAAAATATAATTTATATGTTCAGGTGTGTATGCGTTTTACGAGTATGCTATGTTATTCGCATTGTAATATATATATTGCAAGAGATTACGAAAAACAGAAAAAAAGATTAAGTCGTCTTCAAACAGCAAGCGAGTCAGACATACAGATGGCACATGTGTCTTTATTTCATTTTTCAAGAATTAATTTTTGCAACTTTGTCGTTGAATTTGTGTTTCATAACATATGCTTTAATATAATTAAAAAATTTTGTCAAAATATTCAAGAACACTAATGAGAAGTGAGAGTACTGTTTTATAAAAATCCAGATATACTATTGTAAAATTTGAAATCATAAAATATTTGATTAAACTATTTGTTCATATTTCCTGCCGCTTCGATGATATTCGCTTAGGAATGTAGAAATCGATCTTTTCAAGGAGCAACACTTATCCTTAAATCTATTTTTAGCATCAACAAAAAATTGTTTTGTTATTAGAATCTACTAATCTCCCATAATTGCAAACTATGGTATTTTTATGATTTTGCGTTGCTGAATGTCTCTTCTATATAATAAAATTAAACGATTCTCTCTTTTTTTCTTTAGTTATTAAAGCTTCTATCATATTCTTTTACATACCTGTATTACTAGAATTTCACCAACGGCACAATAAAGACACATATGTACAGAAGAAGTTACTGTCGCTACGACAAACCAAACCAACTCCATAACTGATAATTCGTCCTTATGTTTAAAACTCTACATAGTTACCAATAAAATAAAAGTTATATAACTTTGAAATGCTCTACCTATTGAAATTCATCGTGTTACATTCATGCAGTATGTGGAGGAAAATTGATTAGAAAATCACTAGATAGTATAATACGAATCAACATGTTCATCTTGTAGCTTTTTCATATATGAACGTTTCAAATTATCAAGAACTGTTGGGATAACAAGCTACTTCATCAAGTAATCATGTATATGATTATTTTTTACTTACATTAACTATGAGAAATCCTTGCAGGCAAAATGTTATAGCAAAGTAAAGTACTAGAGTAAGTAGCATTAAATTGAAAGTATCATCAATCATTTTGATAGATCTGAAACAGCAACTACTCTTCAGAGAAAAATATAATTTTGCATCGTGTTTAAGTACACGACTGTGTGTATATGTGTGTATTTGAACAGTTTCTATTTGGATAGTTTTTCTTAACAATTCACTTTCAGTACCTGATCAAACAAATGTGGTTTTGGACGTTATATTTCAAAATTTCATCATAATTAGGAAATTTTTTCATATGTTTCAACCGTAAATGTAAATTTTCTAATTGACCGCATACGTGAAAAACTAATAGACCGAACAAGTTGTCGGTCCCAGTATAAGATATACCAGCTATTAACGCCGCGATTGTTTGCGCCAGTAGTGTCAGCTCAAACTGCGGACTCTTGGTCACATCGTGCGGGTAGTATATTGGTACCGGTAAATGTTTTTCAGAGTTAGTTAAGTTGGTAATATATCTCCTTATCATTTCGAGACATGGTAAACCAAACACAACGGTTACTATAAAAAATACTAGGAACAATCCGCACATAGTGATCGTTCGAGTAATTCTGGCGCACCTCAGCATAAGATCTCGTTCCTCTTTAATTCTTACTTTCACCCAATCTCCTTCAATTACATCAATTAGATCGGCTAAAACTGCAAAAATAAGTAATGAGTTACTATTTGATCGCGCAGATTTTGCGTCCTACAAATCCAATAAAAATTACAAAACACTCTGTCAAACATAATATACCTTCTTGATTGTACCAAATAATGCATACTTTAAAAATTGCAATCGAGACAGGTAGACAATATTGCATATAACCTATCATTAATATCATGTCCCCCCATACTCTTATCAATGATATTAAGCTCGGTATCGTAATTACGAAAAGTAATGTGATGAGATTGCACATCCGTCGAAATTTCAGTCCTACAATTTGACGTGAGTTTCGATTGTCTGGCGGCCACAAACCAACGATTTTTAGTATAAATCGATTTAGACTGATCGCCCATTCGAAATCTGTTATTAGAAACTTAAGATATATTCTGCGTTAAAAGCTATAATTTTACATATAATATTTGCATTTAGGAACAAATATATCGACGAATAATTTAGAAATAGGTTGCGCGAGCGTACTTGAACATATTGACTTTCCTAACTAAAGGAGTTGTGAAAAATTGAATTTTTTTTAACTTAATATATCAATATATCAATTTACAGAGAATTTCCGTGTTAATGTGCCGTATTAATGTACAAAACAAACAACAATTATATTCTTTTATAACCAATTCTTTTGAACGGTACATTTTTATACATCTTATTTTTTCAAGAAATCTCTTTTTTCTTGACAATTTGGATATTTAAGTCAACAAGATAATGAAAAACTCTAATCATTTAATACTCTTAAATAGAAAGATAATAGGAATAAAATACATAAACCGGTAATGAAAAAAAAGTACCGTTACATCTGCTCGAACGATTCATGCTCAATGTTAAAACTATACTACCTCGTAGTTTCGCGAAAAAATCGTCTCCATTCGTCACGTATACTCTTGAAACAAAATTCTCGAAAGACTAAAGTTTGTTTTATGTATGTGTTCTTGTCTTTATAAATATTTCAGTAATCAGAATAAACATAGATGTGTATCGTTTTGTTGACGATTTTGGTAACCAATGGAGTGAGTGAATAAATTATAATCGCGTGAAGATAACGTACTGTCCATTGTTAGAAACACCCATCACTTTCGATGTTTCGTGTTTTTCCTCCTTACTATCGCACATTTGTAATTGCAAGGTTGCGAGCATGCACGCGAAGAATTTTTTATATGACGATGCGAAAGAGACAGTTGAAAAGTTTAATAATGCCGTGGAAAGTCTACAGCTTGTGGATATTTTTTACCATGCTAGTTCTATCGTTGGAAGAAGAGGTTGCCACTGAGGCAGCACTTGGCGCAGGACTATTAACGAGTCTTTAGTCGCACAGTAATTTTCAGCGGACAGATGAAACACAGCAGCGTACGGAGAAAGACGTAGAGGACGCGGTGCCGATGGCTGTTTAGCGCTAATGTGTCTGACTTGTACAATGCGTGTTAGATGGACGCATTTGAATTTAACGGAATTCTATAAGTGTTGTGTTTAAGGCGAGATGTTTTCTCGTGAAATAATAGTTTTACAATCGTTTCTTCTATCATTTCGTGAAGTGAAGTGTGAAACTTAAATGAAAACCGTATTGCATGGTGTCGACTATTTTTAAAGTTTATGTTTCCATCGCGTGCGCGCTGTATATTATCGACTATTTCCGTATCGTTAGGCACTGAAAATAAAGGATGCCAGGGCGGACGTCTTTCTACCTGCATATCTTTCAGCGGCGTCAGGAATATCATTTGTTGTGCCGTGTATTTCTTTATCACAAATCACATGACGATCGGTACATGTTATATGGTGGCTATTAGTTATCGCGCAACGGCAAAATCAATTGAGGCACATATAATAATTACAAGCACGCAGGCGAGAGGAATGCATCGACATTCATTCCTTTTTTTAGTTCGCATTGAAAATTCTTATGATTTAATTTAACATAATCGCTTCTCGAATAATACTACTTCTAGACATTGCCGGTTAGCTTACTGTGTTTTGCTAGTGCTTTCGCGCTCTAATTGTCCAAGTCGTAAAAGGAGAGTTGTTTCCTTATTTGCTTATGTTGTATTGTTCGATCAAAATCACGTTTGTTGCTGTCGTAATCGCCGATTAGCTTCTTTTGCAGCTTTGTAATACTTGTCCGAGACAGTAAATTTTCTTCTATTTGTGGAAACATTCTCACCAATTTTAATTTTTTTCTGAAAAGTTCAGCTTCACATGCGATTACGTCTCTTTCTCGTTGCGAAAGTTTTACTTGCCTAAACGTATGGGTAACGGTTTGTGCATTTGATTCCGCCGGCCAAGATTTATCGGATAATGCCTCATATTAATCATATCATTTCCTGTTGTACACTATAATTTTTCAGGCAAACGTTTCCTTTAAATAAACGTTTTACTAACTAGTGTTTTGGTTTCATTGTAGTTGTCTCTCTATTATTCTCTCTTTAAGAACTACTGGATTTCAAATGAATGGCTTACTTATTTTTTCTATTTGTACGAAAAATCCAATATATTACATGGCTTGTTAGTCCTTGCCGAACACACTATCTTGCGTAAAGTATGTTTAAGGTTTTTAATTTTATGATTATCAGGTCTGAAACATCATCTAGCTAACTCTAACATATTTCGAAAATTTATTTTGGGTTAAAAATTTCAACGGTCCTTTTAGATATTTGTAACAGATTTTTTCTTATCAATTTTTCCGTTTTCAGATTGCTTTATTTTTATATTACACATTTCCTATCGGTCTCCTGGATGTGTTTGTTTCTACTATAGAGATTATCTATTCTAATAAAAAGCATGTAAAAGATTTAATTGTTGCCGCTTTTCCGGGATGCTGATTGGTTCTCTCGCATCGCCCACTTCATGTGGGCTGCGACTTGCTTCGTGACGTTTGCGCCTGTCAAATTATCAGGCAAATAACTGTCATCGCGTTGGTTAGCTCATGAAGAAAAGAATACAGAAGAGATATAAATTATAAGAATAGAAGAATAGAGAATAGAAGAGTAGAGGAGAAAGAGGAAAAAGAGAGGGCAGATAAAGAGAGAAGCATATTATTTAGGAAAAAATAAGGATAAGAATAAGGTAATTTTATAAGGTAATTTAAAAAGTCATTGTAATGATAAAGATGCTAAATAGCGCGCGCGTCAGTACTGTCCTAGTAATTAAAGAAAAGCATTTAATAAAATCATTGAGGCCACGGAACGTGACAAACAAATATATACATTATTTTTTCCATAATTTTGATAATGTTTGGGTATAAGTATTTTTTATTTCAACTAAGGATAGTGAAAATGATAACTATATATTGTTGACTTTTTGGGACATTTGATGCCTTTCATTTGTGGATATAGTGAGTTTCGCTATCAACATTTTGCGTACTCTTATTAGATTCTTTTTATTTATGTTTGGTTGTGCATCTGGGATGAATCTCTGAAAATTCCTTCAATATTTTTTTAAATAATGTCTTTTTTCTAAACTAATACAGTGATAAGAGAATGATTTCTAGTTGTAGCAGATGGATTACAAAAAATACTCTAACAAGGGACATTTAGCATCGCAAAAATTCACAAAAATTTAATATTTTAGCTTGTATCCTTCGATCTTGTAACAGCCAGCTATCTTTCCTCATATCACGCTATCTATTGCTCAACCGAGTAATTGAACTGAAAGTTATGATACCAATGAGTTATGACGATACTTTACTGAATTATGCTTATAATATGCTATTGTATCGTTCAATCCATATCGTGATAGTGTATTTATTGACAAATGATACAAACGATGCAGCAACAATTAGAGTGCGACAAATATTGTTCTAAGTATATCAGTGAATCATTAACGATGTAATTGTTTTTAAATATTGTTTTATAAAAATCCATATAGGTACATCATTGTACAGTTTAAATCCAATTACCATTTAAAAACATTTGTTTAAACTATCTCTTTTCGGTTTGATGGTATTCGCTTAGAAATGTAAATCTATCTATCTATGTAAATGTAATCTATCATTTCAAGGAGCAACACTTATTCCTAAAACTATTTTTAGCATCAATAAAAAATTGTTTTGTTATTAAGATCTACT